GGGGGGTGCTTCTCTGGACGATGCCCGCAAGCGGGGGCCCCCCGGGCTGAGTGCAGCAGCCTGGTCTGGAGGGACAGTAGAAAGGGTGTTCCTGGGGGTGCGTTCAGACAGCTCAGCCCTGGCGCCCTCACCGTACCGCGAGCCCCACAGCCGTGTGCGTGGGGGGAAAGCTCCCAGATCCTGCCCAGGGGCTTGGCGTCAGGTGAAACCAGTGTGAGACAGGAGCAGTCAAGAGAGCGGCTCCCTTGGCCGTTCTCCTGGGCGGGCCGTGGGCTGCGCCGGGCAGCTGGAAGCTTCCAGTGTGGCCACACAGGTGCGTGTGTGTCCAGACCCCGAGCTCACGCTGCTGCACGACACGTGCTTGCTCCGAGGTCTCGCGGCTCTAGTGTCCTAACGACACCCGCGTGGGAACCAAACGCAGCCCCGCCGCCGGGCCTGGGGCCTGGGGCCGCCGCCGACCTCGCGGGTGTGCGGGACACCGGCGGGGCGGTGTCTGGAGCTGCTTCTCCCCGCACACGACGTCCTCGAGGTGCGCCGACCTCATGGCTGTGACTGAGAGTGAGCTGGGGTGTGCGGCTGCCCCCCCTTCACGTGGACACTGCGCACACTCAGTAACCCCGCCCTGCAGCCCCGCGCCGGCCCTCGCCGTGAGCTGGAGCCCGGGACCACGACTGCCCCCGCCCCGCCCCGGCTGTCCAGGCCGCACCTGCCAGGGCACGCCTGGGCCACAGGGTCTCCGGGCAGAGGGAGCGCGCCCCGCGGCGGCCCCGGGGTGTTTCTGCTGAGCCCCTGCTCTCCTGCCTCTGGTACTAACCCGGAGCCGGTGCCGGTCGCCCGGCCCCCTGCACGGGTAGTCCAAGGGAGCTGCTCTGGGGGCAGCAGGTCCGGGGGCCCCGGCGAGCATCTGCTGTGACACTGCCCCCCGCCCCCCACCCCCCCCAGGTTCCAATAGGCCAGAGCTGTGAACCTCTGGGCCGCAGAAGGGCTGGGAAGGCGGCAGGAGAGAGCCGGGGAGGATGAGGCCTGAGGCAGGGGCAGGGCTGAGTGGGGGCGGGAGTAGGGGTCCCTGCGGGGCGCCACCTGCTCTCTGGTCCCACCAGCCTCTCAGCGCAACCACCCTCCTGACCAGACACCCGCCCTTGCTGGCTGACCTCAGACCTGGCGGGGGGGACACCCCAGAGGACTCAGGCTAGCCTTGTCCTGCGTGAGAGTCGGATGCACTTGCAGCGAAACATGTTTTCATTTTTGTCTGAGATGGAACAAGGGCTCCGACTTGTATCTGGAATTCCATCCCTGCTGCGGTCCTGCTTGGAGCAGAGCCCCTCCCTGCCCTGGTCTTGGGAGCCGGGTCCCCACAGGACAGGGAGACCCCTGCAGGTGGCCCAGAAACTCCCCACGACTTCCCACACCTAGGCTGAGGCTGAGGGAGGGTCTCCCCAGGGGGGCGGCTGCCCGCCCGCTTTACGAGGGGCCCTGCTCCGCGCAGACTGCAGCCCTGCAGGGTAGAGCTGCCGCGGGCCACCAGCTTAGAGAGGGGAGACGCAGCCATGGGTCTCGGCGGCCCCGGGGTCTGAAGGCCCAGTGGCTGGCCTGTCTGCAGCAGATCTGGGCTGTTGTGGACAGGCCAGGCCTGTCGGAAGTTGGGGGGCCGGGGCCACGTCTCTGGAGAGCTCTGGGGCTTAGCAGGTGGGCAGAGTGCACCCAGGGCCTGTGCTCCCTGGCGTGGGCACCCGCTGGACAGCTGGGCTTCCATCCCCTGTGCTCGGGACCTGGCCTGCGAGGGGCCCCGGCCCCTGGAGTCCAACCACCTCCCCGGGAGGGAGGACGCGTGCCCTTGGCGCCCCAGAGCCCTGAGCTCGGGAAACCAGGAGGGGATGAGGACCCCAGCCAGCAGCCCCAGCTCTGCTCAGCGGCACCTTCGGAGGCCTCAGGACGCGCTGCTTTCCACGGAGGGGGCAGGAAAAGGCCCTGGGCACTGGGGGTGCTGGGCCGCACCTCCTGCGCTGCCTCCTGGGCCCTTGGCGGGTCAGAGGGGGTGCCAGGGCTGCGCCCAGGTCTGCTGGCTACCGGCATCTCCTTGGCGGTGCTGCTTAGCATCACTGCCTGCCTCCCACCCCCCCCGGCCACTTCCTGCTCCTCCAGCCAACGCTCCCCACCCCCCCGGGGCTGGCTCTGCCCCACGGCCATCGGGGCACCCACAGTGCAGGTTTATTCCTGCCCTGAACCAACACCTCCTGAACACCATCCTAGAGTCACCCTGGCCCCTCACCCCCAACCCCGGCTCAAAGCCACGGTCCTTCCTGCCAGCTGTGTGCCCTCCCGCCCATGCCCTGCTCTGAAGCCACCTGGACTCGACTTACCTCCTGGGCCTCACCGCCCCGGGGGTGCCGACACTGGGGGCCGCGGGGGCCGCATCCAGGTGCTCCTGGACTAGCCCGGCTCAGCGGGCAGAGACAGCCTCAAGGGTCTGGGGGTGCCTGAGGCTGGCTCGCTGGGCCCCCGCCCTCGGGATGCGCCCTGGGCAGCTGGGCAGCGGAGCTTGGACTCGGAGGCGCAGGCTGCACGGGCAGGAGGGCTGCAGCTGCCGCTCCGGGGCCCCGAGCCCACCTCTCTCGCGGCAGCTGGGGCGTCTCACCTCTTCCTGTACAGACTCCTCCTCAGCCTCCTTCCTGTCTCTTTTCAAAAGCCAACAGTCTCGCAGACAGTCAGTGAGCGGCCCGCGGCTCCATGAGTCAGAGGCAGAGCTGCGGCCGGGGTTTCAGCTGGGCCAGCGCCCCGCAGACCGACACTCAGGCAACGGGCCAGCCCGGCCACAGGCCGAACAGCCACCAAGCAGCTGTTTGCTTCTGGGGGCACCTGGAGGGTCAGCTGTTTGCCCCGACACAGCTGGACGGAAGCTGACCTTGGGGGCGTTGGCCTCCGCCAGCAGCAGGACGTGGGCGCTGCGGCCCCATCTCCTCTTCAGTCCCCGCACAGCCTGCCTTCTCTCCGGCACCCGCCTGGCACCTTCTACCCCACAATGTCTTCTGAGCCGGGGCCGCGGGGCGGCCACTTGCGCCCTGAGGGGACGCACAGCAGATGGCAGCTCCCACGGCCCCGAGGTGGCCCCGGCACTCTGCACGAGGGAAGGGTGGGGGGCCGGGACGAGCAGCCGCGCTCCGGTGATGGGAGGCAGCAGCTGACGCGGGGGCGCTGGGAGAAGCAGGCGACACGGGACAGGGCCTTGGGGTCTTGATTCGCCTCAGCAAGTGGGAGCCGGCGGCGATGGAGCAGGAGCGTCCTGGGCTCAGAGGGCAGCGCCCGTGCACGGGTGGGGGGCTGCGTGCGCGGCCGTGCAAGGGCAGGTGAGAAGCCCGCCCCCCCTCCCGCGCCCTCCCGGCCCCAGAGCGTGCTGGGCGCTGGGGGACACGGGTGGCAGCCCGAGAAGCCGCCGAGGCTTCAGGAGGCGGCGTGCAGCCTGGCTGGAGGTGCAGTGAGGCGTCTGGAGCCCGGCCACCCACAGGATGCTGGAAACCGCAGGGGCCTGGCGGGTGTGCGTCCTGCCAGAGGCCAGAGGCCGCCTGCTCCTCCCTCCTGGCCGCCGGAGCACGCCACAGCCTCCTCGGTGGGGGTCTTGGGAACACCCCAGAGCCAGCCACCCGACGTGCCCCAGCCACCGCTGCTCCAGGGGCCCCGTCCACTGGCTCCTCGCGAGCTGGGCAGGCCTTTCCCTGGAGGCCCCAGGGGCGTGTCCGGGGAGCCTTCCGTGCTCATTCAGTCGGGGGCTTCCCGGGACCCTGGTGCTTCGTCGTAGCGACAGCTTGAGGCCCCCACCCGTTGGGATGGGCCGTCCTGGGGCTGCGCTGCCCCTGCTCCCGCTGAGTGACTGTGCCCAGGCCGTAGTCGGGCCACAGGGAGGGGGACAGGCCCTGGGGTCTGGTCGCCTCGCAGAAGCTGGCCTGGGGGGTGTGCAACCTCCCCAACTGGGGGCCAGGGCGGGGCCAGAGCGTGCCTTTTGCAGGGAGGACGTCCCCGCGCTGCGCCCTCCAGGGGGATGCAGTTGGCAGCGAGCGATTTCTCTGCGACCCGCTAGACCCGATGGCTAGTCCCCGAGACTGGCTTGGTGGCTGTGGGGAGGCCAAGGTTCTGCTCTCAGACGCCACCAGCTCTCTAGTTGTGGTGGCTTCTGACTGCACCCCCTCCCTTGCCTCGCCCGCAGGTCAGGCTCCCGGCCCATCCCCTGGCCAGGCTCCCTGCTGACCACTGCTGGCCCCGAGGCGTGTACTGTGTGGACGTGACCCGGCGAAAGTCCTCGGCCACCAGAGCTTCCCCTGCTGTGGTGGTTCACCTACTGCCACCCCTCCCCCACGCCCATCGGCGCGCAGGTGACCCCTAGAGTCGTGGGGGCCTGCAGGGCTGCACAGTCCCCGCCAGGACCCCAAGTCGCCTCCACCTGCCTTAAAGCAGTGTCCGAGGAGAGGGGCCCTGCCCTTCGTGGAGACACTGGCACCCCCTAAGCAGCAGACCCACCTGGGGTGCACCAGCCCGCCCAGGCGGCACCCGGGAGGGCTGGCTTGACCCGGCTCTGCGCTAGGGCGCTCCGCGCCTTAGGGCGCCAGGTCCTGGCTCCCCAGGCTGCTGCCTCAGGCCCGGCCTGCAAACCGTGCACAGGAAGCGGTGCCCCCGTGGGGCGCCCAGCTCTGACTCACACCCCGCAGGGGCAGGAAGCCCCCCTCCCCCATGCAGCCCGGCTGGGCCCCCGCTGAGGGCGGGGCAGGGGCGCCCACAGGGCTCTCCAGGGGGGCGGGGGCGGGGGCAGGGGTGAGGGACGCCGGTGGGCGCGCAGGACCGAGAGCGCTGGGGCAGCCCGGGCTTGCACCTTCTGTCTTTATTGGGGGGTGTGGGGGGGGTGTCCGCGCGGGAGATGACCAGAGGCCCCGCCCGCCCCCGGGGACGCCGACCACCGCAGCCTGGAGGCCGCTGCGGAGGGCGCGGTGGTGTCCGCGGGGCGCGCGGGCTCCTCACGGGGGCGGGGAGGCGCCGGCCGCCTTCCCCCCGCGCCCCGGCCGCCTTCTCCGCCGCCGGGACAGCTGCGCCCTGCGGGCGGCGGCCGTGGTGAAGGTGATGCCCTGCGCGTCCAGCAGGTCCAGCAGCCGCCCGGCCGCCACGCGCACGCCCTGGCGCCGCAGCCCGGCGCGCAGCTCCGCCAGCTCGAGCGGCTCGTAGCGCAGCACGCGGCGGTACAGCGCCGGCCGCGCGCGGATGTAGCGGCCCAGCGCCGCCTCCGTGGCCAAGGCCCGCGCCGCGCCGGCGCCCTCCTCGCCCGCCTCGTCTCCCGCGCACTCCAGGGCCCGGCCGACCTCGCCGGAGGCGGAGCTGGAAGGCACCAGACCGACGGCATCAGGGCCGGCCCGCCCCGCCCCACCGGGCGCCCCGAGGCCGGGCGGGGACCCCGGGAGGCAGGAGCCCCGGCATTGGGAGCGAGACCCCGTCCTACCCCCTCCCCTCCCGCCGGCAAACTGCCAGGACTGCCCGGCCCTGCCCCGCCCCCACCCGAGGGCGCCCAGAGAGGCAGCCCCACCGCGCAGGTGCCCTGCAGCTGGGGCCCAGGGCGCCGCCTACCCCACCCCTGCAGCCCGGGCAGAGGGCTAGGGCCGCGCCCGCCTTCCCCGTTACCTCTGGGAGCTGAAGGAGCTGTCGCTGCCGTCCGCAGAGGGGGCCGTGGACCCCTGGGAGGCTGGGAGCTCGGTGTCCCGGTCAGGGCCCCGAGGCGCCTCTGCGGCCTGCGTGGTGCTTGGGGCGGGGGCACTGCCCCCAGGCTGCTGCTCTCGGCGCCGCGGTGCAGCCTCTGGCGGGGCCGGGCTCTCACCCTCAGAGTCGGACTCCAGCGTCTGGTGCGTGTACTGGAATATCTCCTTCAGCTTCAGAACCATCTGGCGTTTGGGCAGAGGGCGGACCCCAAACCTGAATGGGGGAGAGGTGGGCCTCAGCAGAGAGCAACAGCCGCCGCCAGTGTCCTCTGCGGCTCTGCGCGCCTGAAGTCCAAGCACTGGCTCCGGTGTGCGCCCAGAGGCCGCGTCTGGCCTGCAGGCCAGCTGGGCAACTCGGGAGCCGCGTCCTGAGGATGGTGGCGCTGGCAGCTTCCTGGGGCCAGGTGAGGGCCCCACATTCGGGGACGTGAGAGTCTCATGGGCCTTTAAAAAGCCGGTCTCCCCCGCCGGCGGTTAAGCCGCCTGGTGGGTGACCTGAGGGGTCTGGTCCTGTGGCTGCCGGGGTCCCTGGGAGGACCAGCCCACACCTCATGCCCCCAGCAGCTCCCACCCCCGCAGCCCAGGGTGGACCCACAAGCGGCCAGCCTGCTGGGCTGGGGTCCGTGCAGGAGGGAGCGACCCAGGGGCCCGTGCTCGCGGCACCACCAACCTGTCCAGCTCTTTCTTCAGCACCGGGGTCTCCATGAGGGAATACCTTGGCATCGGGGTTATGGGTACTTTGGGGGGCAAGTTCTTCTGACCAGCTCCTCCTGGGCAGAACAGAAGCAGCACACATGTGAGCATGGGGACTCGGAGTGGCCACCCAGGGCCCCGTCACTGTCCTGGAGAGGCTCAGAGTGAGCCCGGCCACCACGCGGGTCCCCGGCAGCGGTGACGGCCACTGCGTCTGACTGTGGGGTGGGCCACCAGAAAGCAGCTTGGGGTGCATGGCGGGGGCTCAGCCTTGTGCAGCACGGACACTGTGCACTGGACAGGCTGTCCCACAGCCAAATGTTTGGCAAATAAGCTTAAAAGTGGCTTGACACGGCCTCCCAGGCGGCGCAAGGGGTTAAGCACAGCACTGTGAAGCTGTCCGCGGCCTCTGCAGCACGAGTCCCAGCCCCAGCTGGGGGGCTACCCACATGGCGCAGCAGACCTCTCCTGTCTCGCCCACTGCTCCCCTCCGCGGTGTATTTCAGTCCATCTGCCTGCTCTGCTCCCCACTCTGTCTCTGGTGAATCCTCTCACCCCCTGCACCTCTGGCCTGTACCCCAGCTCTTATATGCATAGATAAATCTTCAGGAAAAAAAAAAAAGTGGTTTGACACAGTGACAGCCGCCGACATGCAACATGGACACCCCTTGGGCTTGGACATCCGTGCGGTCTGCGACTCGGCGGGGAATGGCCGGGGTTGGAGTGGTCACTTCTCCACAGCGCCACTGGGGACCATGGAGATGCGCCACGCCCACCGGGGCCGCCGACACACCCAAGGCCCCGACCGGCAGGCGGAGGGGGTGACAGAGGCGGGAGGCACTCAGGATTATTGGTTACGTGTGGGTTTGGGGAACACTGGCCAAGAGCGTGTTCTGATGGATGCAGAGAGACCGCGAGTCACAGGGTGAGCCGCGGAGCCTGCGGGCGCGGTGGGGTCCACTCGGGACAAAGGGAAAAGTAAAAAAAAAAAAGCAGAGACCAGTCAGTCACGGGGGAGGATGAGGACATCCGCCAGCGGGGATGCCAGAGGGCGCAGCCACTTGGGAAGACTGTCCCGCAGCCCCTCAAAATGCTGACCAGTCACCCCTCGGCCCAGCAGTCCCACCGCCCTTGTGCGGGAACACGCCCGACAGCCGGGGAGGAGCAGCACCGCGAAGGGAAGGCGTCGGCCCCCCCACCCCGGGCCCCTCGGCGTGACCGTGCGGAGGACGAGCCCGCCCGCTACTCACCCGGCGTCCCCGGCGCTCCGGGCTGTTGTGCTCCCTCGGCGCGCGTCGGCGGGCTCTGGGCGCGGGGCCCCGGCGGCCCCTCGTCTCCGTCCCAGTCGTCCCACAGGGCGGAGCTCAGAAAGCTCGGCGTGCCGCGCCCCGGGGAGCTGGCCCCGGGGGACTTCACCCAGGACCGCCTGTGGCCGGGAGCAGCGCCGCCCGGGATGGGGCTGCTGGCGCTCAGGGGCGCCGTGCGCTCCAGGTTCAGGTGGTCGATGGGGATCGGGGAGAGGGGCTCGGCGTGCCAGCAGCAGGCCTCCTCGGGCGCCGGGGCGTCGCCGGGCAGCAGGGGGCTGCCGCCGGCCCGCTGGGAGGCCACCTCCCGCTCATCTCCGCTGTCCTCGACCTCCACCACCTCCCCGGCCGGGGCCCGACGTGCGGGGCTGGGCCCGGGTGGTGAGCGCGGCTGGTGCTGCGGGGGGTGTCGGGGAGGCCGCCCGCAACCGGCTGCGGGGCCAGTGGAGGGAAGCGCCTGCGGCACCGGGGCGGGGGGCTGCCAGGGCTCCCGCAGACTTGCCTCCCGCCGTCGGGGCTCCCAGGAGTCGAGGGGGAGAGGCACGAGGCTGACGTCGCGGCCTCGGGGCCGCCACTCTGTTCTGACGAGCCTGTGGGCCTGAGCTGGTTCACCTGACCGGCCGACAGCCTGCACCCGAGGCCCAGGGCCTGGGCCTGCGAGGAAGAGCCGCGGTTCCTGAGGGCCAGCGGGGTGGCGGGCACCAGCCACGAGGCATCTGAGCTGCTGTCCTCGTCGGGGCTGCTCGCGGGGCGGCAGAGCAGCCGGGGGGGCCCCTGCTCCCCAGCAGAGCCTGGGTCCGGCTGCCGCGGCGAGGCCTCTCTCAGGGGCGGGCTCTGGGAAGCTTCCTGGTCCGTGTCCACGTCGATGATGGGAAACAGCTCACAGGATTTGGCACTAACTTCCAGAACTTTCCTTTCTTCGGGGGGCTCATGAAAAACAGACTTGACTTGGGTTTGCTGTAGCTCCAGCTCTTCGTCCGAATCTAACAAGAGGATGACCTCGTCCTCCCTGCTCCCGTGGGCCGGGGGGCTCTGGGAGCTGCCGCTGCTGTGGTCAGGTTGGGGCTGGGTCAGGTCGATGGACAGAGATTTCTGGGGGGAAATCAGGACCCCTTTATTTCTGCGCCCCCACAGGGAAGCCCGCTGCTGGCCCTTCTGGCAGCTTGGGTCGCCAGGTGACGAGAGGCTGTGCCTGCTCCTCTTCCGCTGTGATGGCGAGTCCTGGGGGGTCAGCCTGGCAGCTCCGCGCGGTGACTGGGGTACCGGTGGGGCCGAGTCAGCCTCGAGGTGAGGGTGAGGCTGTGCCCGGTGGGGGCTCCTGCCTTGAGGAGGGGCCTGTGATGACAGGTGGGGGCAGGACAGGGCAGGGGAACTCCCCAAGCCCCTGTCCTCCCCTGTGCCGCTCCCCTCCTCTCCTGCACTGGAGATTCGGGGTGCTTGGGGGCATCCTCCTTGAGTCAGCAAAAAGGGCTGTTCGTCGTCATCAGCGTCGACCGAGACCGGAAAGGCGCCTCCTTCCCTGTGCGCCCGGCAGCCCTGAGGGGGACCAGCGGGGCTGGACGGGTGCGGAGCTCCCGAGGGGGTCTCTTCTCCCTCCTCCCCGTCGGAACACTGGCCCCGGAGCAGCAGGCCCGAGGACTGTCTCACGCAGCTCCCCGCAGTTAGGGCTGTATGCGTGGCCCGGACGCCTCCTGGGCCGTCCTCCGGCTGCCCGCTCTCCTCCTCGGCCCCGGGGGTGCCGCCCCGCGGGAGCCGCTTCCGCTGAGTGGCTGCGAATTCATAAATTTCCTCCATTTCTGCTTCATTCACCTTTTCTCTGTCTTCTTCGCAGTTCTCGGGTTTCAACAGAGCCGCCGCCGCCTCCTCCTCCTCCTCACCGACCCACATGGCCCTCAGGAGCGCGTGGAAGTTCTCCGCCCGGCTCTCGCAGGCCTCGTCTCCCCGCCCCTCCTGCTGGCCGTCCTCCGTGTCCGGCGCGGCAGCCGCCCGCTCGCACAGGCGCGCCAGCTCCCCGACTCCGAACCTGCAGCGGGAAACGCCACGTCACCGCCAGCCTGCCGGGGCACTGGCCCCCCCAGCGGGGGCGGGGAGCAGAGCCCCAGGGCAGAACACCCGCTCCCCGGGATGCCGGGCTGAGCTCTCACCCCGCACACCTGGGCCCCTCGGTTCTAGGGCCAGGGGTTCCTGCGACCTCAGGGCAGGTTACACTCCAACCCGGGGGTGCACAGTGGAGCTGAGGCTACAGGAATTGGGGTGCTGCCTTGAAGATGCTCAAAGCCTTGTGATGGGCACACCCAGAGCCCACAGCTGTCGGTCGGTCCAGGCTGACATGGGCTGCCGCCACCTGCTCGAGGTCCCCAGGCTAACAGCCTGCAGCCCAGTGGGTGACGAGCCTGGACGCACCACGTCTCACCCGAGGCCCTCAAGCCTGTCGGGCTGAACTACCTGGCCCTCTCCTGGAGTGGGCCCGCCCACAGGTACACTCAGGGAGTCAGACCAAGCACTTGGTCCACTTCCGCTTTCGGGACTTAGAAAAGAGCTGCCGCCGTCCAACTTTCGTGGCATAATAATCAAGGCAGGCAGTGTCTGGGGGACGAAAGATCACTCTCCCACCAGACTCTGGGAGCTAGGACCCGGCCTGCAGCGCCACTTCAGCAGCACTGGCTGCTCTAGCCAGACTCCAACTGCAATTCTGGACAGGACCAGCTGGGCCCGGTTCCAGGTCATCACCGGTCAAAACCCGGATGAAGAGATGCAGGAGGGCCTGAGCCCGATCCTCCCGTGAGCCATCGACTGCTAATCCCTGTCAGTGTCAAAGGCCGTGAAGTAAACGGTAAGAACAAGCCAGACCTGTGGGCCAGGGAAGCCAGGTCGGGGGCCAGCTGGGGAGGGAGGTGGGTGTCGGCGGTGTAGAGGTAGTGCAGGAAGGCGCGGGCAGCCTCCGTGCTCACGTCGCTCAGCAGCACACGCTGGGTGGGCATGTCGCCGTCCTCCACAGCAGAGAAGCTGTTGCTGCTCACCTGAGAGTAGAGGGAAACCCAAGCTGACGGTCAGGACAGTGGTGCCCTGGGGCAGACGCCAGGCCTGGTGAGCGCAAGCACCATGCGCCTCCTGCCCGGGCTGTAGGCCAGGCCGTGCGGGGCTCGCCGTCCACAGGCTGGGCCGAAGCTTCTGCTTTCACAGCCAGAGCAGGGTAGAGAGCCCCAGCCCAGGTCGTCCCCATGGCAAGCCTGTCCGAGGAGGCGGACCGCGTTCCCGGGGCCACTCGTGTCGTGTCAGCCAGGGCAGACACGAGCTGGAGAACTGCCGAGGCCAGTGGCTCAGCCTCAAGGGTGGACGGGGCGCCTTTATGGTTATGCAAGTGGGGAAGAGGAAGCGGTTCTGTGGGGAAGGCATGTTCACTCACAGGAATGAGAAGCCCAGCGCTTCCCAACCCTAGGCCGGCTCTGCACGCTGCCTGCCCTCAGCCGTCTCCATGTGAGCGGCGCCTTTGAGGCAGCAGAGGAGAAAGGCTGGGGTGTGGGGGTAGAGAGGGGGTTCCAGAGTGGGGTGGCAGGGGCAGGAGAACAGGCTCTGCAGAGCCCTGACGGGTGAAGGGCATGAGGTGCGGGGCCGGCTGGGCGCGGGGGGCGGGGGTTCGGGGGGCGGGGGGGCTGCGAGCACGTACATGCTGCGTGAGGAGCGGGCACCGGGCGTACAACACAAACTTGTGGGCGTGGAGCAGCTCCCCGCTGTCCGTCTGGAACTGGACGTCGCTCAGCTGTGGGTTGTTGACCATGGCGCCCAGGTCAGCCACCAGCAAACTCAGGGAGCGCTGAGGAGAGAGCAGAGTGCGGAGCGGCTGAGCAGGTCGGGGGCTGCGCTCCTCCCGCCAGGTGCCTACGTGGGGCCACGGGAGCCACCACGCAAACACCAGCTTCCTTCTCAGCCCTCGCCTCGCCGAAGCCCCAGCCTGAGCGGGATTCAGCGAGGCCGAGGGCCGGGTCAAGACGAGGCAGTGTGGCCAAGCCGGTGCCCGCACATGGGGGCCAAAGGGGGGTTGCCGGCCTGCCATGGGGGGCTGGGCCCCAGTAGACCCCGGCGCAGTGGTTGCTGTCGCAGATGCTCTGCTAGGACACCCCCTCCCAGAAAGACCAGCTCTAACCCTGGTGGTGGCCGCCTCCCTCGTGAGCTGTCGGCTGGGGCCACCGGGACCTGCACAAGGGGCCACGGTCAGTCCCAGCAAGAGAGCAGAACTGGAGAAATGGGCACCACAGCAGACGTGTGTGCGGTGCTGACCCCAGAGTCCAGCCCAGGGTCCAGGGCCTGGCTACCCAGCTGCCCAGCGCTCAGTGATAACAGGTTGGACTAAAGCCTCGCGGCAGAGCCCCAAGCGGGACAGGCGGCTGGGGGCTCTCACGGGCTCAGGCCCCCCAGGGCCCGCGGACACCCTGACCACAGCGCTCAGGACAAGGTGGGGCGGCAGGGCCAGGCAAGGTACAAGGTCAGCAGTGCTTACCGTCGCCTGGCTGCCGCCCTCCAGCTGTGTCTCCTCGGCCGGCAGGACAAAGCCCGTCAGTGGAAGGCAGCCGGGCAATGAGTCCATCCCTGAGAGAAGGGTGCGCGGGTTAAAGGAACGCCCCCACGAGGTTGGCTGTGGGGAGGTGCACTTGCCAGTGTCGGCTGGTCAGCGCCCAGGCCCCTGGAGGATGCACTTTCCCGACGCCCTCCGTGAGCCAACTGCCCATAAGCCTGTCTTACCCCCTTCCAAGAGGGGCATGGGCAGTAAAACAGACAAAACTGGCCCACAGTGCCCAGCACCGGGTCAGCTGCTCCGCCGCGGCTCAAGCTGAAGGGAGCTGACAGACTTGCCATCCTGCGCCACCTTTAAGAGAAGAGAGCCCCAGAGCCTTCCCCCCGCCTCCTGGAGGCGCCCTGCAACCTCAGAGGCCTGGATCTGAGAGGCTATCAGGGTACTGCAAGGACTGTTCTGTCCTGGCCCTAGTCCCGGCCCAGGAGCGGGTGTCTGGGGCGGGCTGACCCAGGGGCCCCTTCAGTGTCTCACCTGCGGCCCCCTCCGAGCCAGTGGGGTCCCCGCTGCAGGGCTGCGGGCTGGCGCTCAGCCCCTCCCCCGCCAGGTCCACGAGGTCCTGCAGGGCCTGGTGCTCCCTCTGGCTGGCAGAGGGTGACAGCGTCGGGGGGCCGGGCCATGCGGGGCAGGTGCTGTGGGGGGCAGGTGATGTTCCGGAGCCCAGCCCTGGCTGCTCAGGTGGCCCTGCGGGTTCCTGTGTGAGCACCTGGGGAAGTCAGAGTGGGGCGGTGTGTCCACTGAGCAGCCCCGGTGCCCTGCGGGCTTCTGTCCAGGGCCGTCAACAGGCGTCTGCCCCTGCCCCAGGAGGAGCAGGGCACCCCAGCCACAGAAAGGTCCCAGGCCGCTCTCCCCACGGTCTCACTCGGATGAGTGCCGACTTCAGGGCCTCCAGCACGGGGTGCGTCTGCTTCCCGGACCCCTGGCTGGGCCTGGGAGTCCACATTCTAAATAGATGCTCGAGAACAGGATACGTTTGGGCTCACGTGGCCCTCCCTGCCCTTCCCGGGACAGCCCTCTGGTTGCTGCAGAGAAATACCTACCTGTGGCCGACACCCTGGGGCTCAGCCCCTCCTCAGCCCTCCTGTCCCCCGCCCCAGTTGTTGGTGCCAGAGCTGAGTTCCCTCTCCAGCCCACCTTCGGGTGCAGCGGGGACGCACCTTGGTGGGCCGCTGGAGCACCAGGGGCGGTACCAGACTGGCCGTGTAGAAGGAGTCCAGAGCCCAGGCCTGGGTCAGGGCACTGCCCTCCCACAGGGAGTGCTGCTTTCCTGCAGGTGGACGCAGACACCAGCTGGCCCTCTCCAGCTCTTCCTTCAGCCGCCCGCCCGCGGGGAGGGGGGGCGTGCTGGCCAACTCAGCTTCCTCGGCCAGGAGCTGGGCCACGCGGTCCTCGATCTGCCTGCCCGTGATCTCCGCGTCCTGCACCAGCAGCCGGGGTGGGGACGCAGCTTTCTTCTTGCGACTCTTCTTTTCTAGGGAGCAAAGCACCAGTCAGGGATGTGCCGCCGCCGTGCTGCCTGCCCCTGCGGGAGCCTCACGCACCTGCTCCCGGTCGCAGCCTCTCAGCAGCAGCACTGCCTGGTCTGAGCGCCACCGGCCTGGCCTCCAGCTCCGAGCGCGACAGGGCCATGGCCACCAGCAGGTCCTCGGACGGCGCCTCGGGCCCGCTGACCCTCCACCTCTTCTGAGGCTCCTTCCTGCTGGCGGCCCCCTTCCGCTTCAGGCCTCCGCTGAGACTGCTGAAGCTTAAAGGCGGCCCAAGGGAGAGATCAGTGGGGGCTGGCGGGCGCGCGTCCTCCTCTGAGCTGGTCCCTGCGGGGCCTGGGAGGCTGGGCCCTCCTTGGTGGGGGCGAGAGGGCAGGGAGATACGTGGGGCTTCCTACGCCCCTCGGGCAGCCCCGGTCTTCCTGAGGCAGGAGGTGCCCCTGCCCAGCTGAGGGAAAGGCCACCCACACAGGCAGCTGCTCCCAGGCCAGCTGGCAGCAACCTTTCTGCTTTGGAGATTCACGTCAAGGACTTTCCGGCCACAGAGGACTGAGTGCCTGGGACCACGGGGGAGGCGAGGGAGCAGCAGCCCGGGCTCGCCTCCCTGAGGGCGCCTGATGTTCACCAAAGCCAAGACCAGGCTTGTGCCAGACCAGGCTTGCCGGCAGGTGGTCAGCTCCAGCCTCCTGGGGCCTGTATCACGACTGCCTCCCGGAGGGCGAGGGGCTGCAGTGGGGGTGGGGCTGCTGCAGGCCGCATCTCTGGGCCCACAGGCAGGTCAGGGCCCTTGCTCTGTCACCAAAGGAGAGAAGTTCCAGAGCTACAGGAGCCCAGGGCCCGCGTGGCCTATAAGAGGCTGGCGTGGAGGGGAGCGCCAGGCCTGCCGCACCTGTGACGCGCACACGCAGGACTCGTTTCCAGCCATCAGCAGGGCCCCTGCTCTAACTCTCAAGCATTCAATTCACACACACAAAAAGAAAGTCCGTGGCTCTGTCTGAGCAACACCGAGCCGGCGAGTCACTGCACGTGAGCGGCTGGACGTGGGGGCACCGCGCTGTCCCGCCTGGAAGCACCAAGCTGCTCAGAGAGTGGACGCAGGAACTCGAGTCCACCCTGATCTTTCTGAAGACACACTGCGTGGGCCACTTCAGAGCCTTCAAGAGGCAAAACCTGTCCCCTCTGCCGTCCCTCGGGATGCCCCTGATTTCCTCTCAGACGTCTCGCTTCCAGAATCAGAGGGCTGTCACTCCCCAACACTACAGCAGGCCTTAGGAAAGAAAAATCGGGGCCTCTCTGGTGGCCTAGGGGTTCAGTCTCAGGCTATCACTGCCAAGGCCTGAGTTCATTCCCCGGCCAGGGCGCTGACCCACAGGGCACAGCAGACCTCTCCTGTCAGCAGTGGATTCCAGTAGCTCTGCCTGTTCTGCTCCCTACTCTGTCTCTGGTGAGTCCTCTCACCGCCCCCCCACACCGCTGACCTACACCCCAGTTCTTCTACACACAAAAAAGGTATATTAAAAGAAATAGACTCCCCAGAGTGCTTCCCTGAGGGGCTTCCCTCTCACCTGGGCACTGGAGCGGGCAAGCTGGGGGCCCCCTCAGGCTGTGCCATCTGCAGCCGCACAGCCTGGAGCAGGAGCTGGGGGCCGACTTCCATCCTCGCTGCACACTGTTTCAAGTGGCTGGTTCTGCTCTTGGTGGTGAGAAACGGTTTGCCACAGATGGGGCACTCGGGGATCTGTGGTGCCGAAGGCCTCGTCGCCTTTTCCACCTCATCCAGGCACCTGGCAGAAGAGGTAAGCGCTGTGGGTCCAGAGCCCCGACAGCCCCGGTGTCAGCCCCGTGCCACAGATGCTGCCTCCAGGCACTGAGTTCAGGGGTCTGGAAAACACAAAGCACCTCGCGACCCAGCAATTCCAGGCCTCGGTGCAGGCCCAGAGGACTGAAGACACAGAGGACACCCGAAGGTGGGAGACGGTCTGGTGTCCACTGGCAGAAGACAGATGAGCAGAATGTGGTCCATCCATACAAAGAGGCAGAAACCAGCCACACAGCAGCTCTGACCCCGAACAACATGGATGAGCCCTGAGGAGGAGGCTGAAGAGGGCCCCACAGGCCCGGGGTGTGGTCCCACTGCGGGAAACATCCAGAGCAGGCGAGCCAGAGGCAGGGTAGGCCGGAGGCCGCCAGGGGCTGGGGCCACGGGGGCATGGAAGCGAGTGCCCATGGCGCGACCTCTCCGGGGGCTGCAGCGACGGAGCACAGCTCTGAAAGGGCGCGCTGTATGTCACGTCGCATGGCCCGGCTCTGCAGCATGAGCCCTGCAGCCCCGGGAGCACGGGCCCCCACCCGTGCCTACCGGTTCACGTGCTGCTCCCTCCGAATCACGTTCATGGCCGAGAGGTTCTTGTGACAGATCTGGCAGAAGAACAGCCCCTTCTCCTCCAGGCTGTCGCCCCGCGCAGCCGCATGCTCCTGCCCAAGCTCCTGCTGCAGGGCCCAGGCCACGGCAACATCGCTCTCTGTGACAGGGAGCCTGGGCCCAGTCCCTATGGAGAGGCGGGAGACCGTGAGGGCGCACCCCCTCAGGGCCAGACCCTAGACACGCATCCACACTTCAGTGCAAGTCTGGACTCGGGATGCCAGGGCAGCCGGCTTCCTGCAGTGTAAAAGCCGCCGGGCAAGGCCCCGAGCGCCCTCACTATGGCTGTCTCTGCTGTAGCACCTGGGACAGGCCCCCAGTCCTCCAGGTCCAGGCTTCTCTCCTAAGCCCCACCTCCCCGTGGCCAGCCCCTCACGGCCTTCCGAGAAGGCCCAGGTCAGAACGCAGCCCCCGCCTCGGTGGACTCGGCCTTGACCACGGGAGGGATGACTCCTGTCTCGAGGTGGCTCCCTGGGCAGCTGTGCTGTGCCGCCGCCACGCCCTGGCCCATCTGGTCGTGCTGGAGCAGATCCCTCACAGGAATGTCCCGAGAACGTCACCAACAGCCTGTCACTCTCTCCCCGTGGCAGGAAAGCATCGCACCTCATTCTGGTGCCTCTTTTTTCAACCACAGGAGCGAGCTGTCTCTCCCGGGCACTGCTGGCGTGGCGTGAGCATGTATGGAAGCAACTGGGCCGCATACAGGCAGGCCCTGGGCTCGGGCATGGCCAAAGGCTCCCAGTGCCCTCCAGTGCTGCAGGCGTGGTGGGCCCTGGGCAGGCCTGGAGCCCTCGGCCCCCGGGGCGATGCTGCATAAGCAGGGCCACATGCCTGTGCTGGGGTGCCCCCTGCCCCGCTGCTTCTCCTTTAGTGTGTTTTTTCAGAGGTGACGATGCCTACTGCTTCGGGCTTGTGTGGCGGGATTAGGGGTGAGGGGCCACGATGGCAGCAGAAACACGTGTTTCGTGAGATGGAAAACACGGTCAAGGGCGGGCCACTGCCGGAGCGAGGCTAAGGGTGGGGCTCGCTGGGATTTTTACTCTGCTGTCTGGGAACAGCTTCGTAATAAAATGAAAATCCAGAAAGAGAAAGAGGTGCCCAGGCAGAGAAGCTCAGTGAGGGAGGACCCAGGGGCCCCGGCTCTCTGACACGACTCAGGCGGCGGGAAGGTCCTGCCAGGCAGGGCCAGGGCGGCGGGGAGGCCGAAGCACCGCTCCCGCTTGCCCCCGCCTCTCTGCTGGGAAGATAGGGCACCCTCGTACCCTGCCCGGCCGGCGTTCCCTCTTGAGGCCCCTCTGAAACCATCTCTTGGAGCACGGCCTCCGGGGGGGCGTGCGTCAGCCGGTCGGGGTCGGCTCTCTTGAAGCGCTGCATCCGCCGCAGGACCAGCTCCGCTGTCCGCTCGCTGGGACTCGGCTCTGTGGCCGCCAGACAGGAAGGCAGGGCCGGGGGGCCGCTGCCGGGAGCACCGTCTGGCGAGGAGAAGAACGGTTGCAGACATCTCCTCCGGCGGGAGAGACGGCTGGCTCCCACCGGGCCAGGGCTCCCACGGCCATCTGGCAACCAGCCTCGGCTAACTCTCCAGTGTGACCGGCCCTGGCCGCTAGCTGGAGCCCCGCTGCCCGCGGGAATGGGAACGGGAACGTGGGCCCTAAGTCCCTCAGCCGGGAGGGGCGGGCAGTGGGTGAGCATGTGTGGGGTCATGACAAGGTCCTAAAACTGGGGCACCTTGTGGCGGCAGCTGCACAACCATGAATGCACCGAAACCAGTGACCCGTGCACCGCAGCGGGATGGGTTTACAGACGCGACTGCATCTGCAAAGTGGGTATTCAAGAAATACTAATGACGAGTCTTCCTAGATCCTAGATCCAGGGTGCTCCTATCACTTGGGTGGCCCCAGAAGGCCTCCCATGGGGAGCCCGTAACTTCTGAAGTCTTTTGTCAGTTTTGCAGGCAAGTGTGGGGCCGGTTTCTGGGGAGATCACGTGCAGCCCCCATTCAGCGCAGGCTGCCGCCACTGCTCCAGCCAGAGGGCCGGCTGGCCACGCGAGTGAAAAACGTTATTTGAGATCAGGAAGTGAAGGAGAGAAAGAACTAGAAACCGAGCTCAGGTGCGCCGAGAGACGGCCTGGCGCTGCACCTGCAAGCGGTTTCGGTTCTGCGTGGAGAAGGCCCACCCCGCGCATGCTCCAGTGCTCCGGGCAGTGGGGCTTTACACAAACAAGCAAAAAGAGAGTAAAAGGTGGTTTTGCAGGAGGAAGGTGAGACCTGAAAATTCTCCTGGGGCCTAAGCCCCGCCGCCACAGGGACTACCTCTTCAGTAGCTCGACTGAACCCCCGGGTTGCAGCTGACCCCAAACTGCAGAATGAACGCGAGAAAGGGAGAGCAGCAGCAGCCGTCTTCCCATGCAGGGGCACGTGCACCATGTCCCGGCCACACTGACAGGAAACTCTGAGGGGACAGGCGTGATCACGTGGCAAACTTTCCTGACGATCGTTTAAAACAGGAGTCGGCAAACCCTGGCCCCGGCGGCGCCTGCTGTGGGAACGGAGTTCCGTGGGAACTCGGCCCATGGGTTTGCGTGTCGCCTGGGAGCCAAGCAGCTGCAACAGCAGCCACTGGCCGGCAGCGTCAAAAACATCTGTGAGCTGGCTCTCGGAGTTTTCCGACTCCGGTTTAAACAAGCCCCGCTCCTCTCCGGTTCCCTCTCTGGAAAGCCCCAGCAGTGTTCCTGGTCCGGTTACCTGTCTGCGTGCTCCTTGTGCTCTCTGGGGGTGCAGCAGGAGCGAGCGCCCCTCCCTCTCCGTCGTCAGGGGGCACTGGGCCCTGCTCCTGGCACCTGGTGGGCCCTGACTGTCTAGCCCTTGGGGCCCGGCTGCCAGGTCGGGCTTTCGTGGCTCTGGGGCCTGCGGGGGCGCTGCTCTTGGCGGTGGTCAGTTTGGTACCCTGCGGTCTGCTGCGTGTCTGCGTGCTGTCTGGGGCCCTCGGTCTCTTCCTTTCCCCAGACCCGTCTTTGGGGCCATTCTTTTTCACCCTTTGGAAAAAGCTGGCACAGAGTTCTTTAAAATCCTCATCAGACTCATCCATCCTGGGAAGTGTTTGGGGGGGAGGGTGGCGCTGGGGGTGTGCACAGAGGAGCCCCACCAGGCTCACACGCGCAGATTCACTAGTGTTCCCTTTTCTTCCCACGGAGACTGCCTGGAGGGTTCGCACTACTGAGCAAAAAGTGCTGTTTTTCTCCCCTTAATGATTTAAAATGCCTTTGCTCAAATGGAGCCTGTGTGAAACAGCCCGCTTAAAGCTTTCTTCTGTTAAAGTTCAAGTTCGAAAGGTTTTGTTGTCCACTGGCGCCTCAGATACAATGGACATGTGCTGCTGCTTAGGTGACCCTTCAGATCGCCACGGTGAGAAGTGCGCTGGGTCCTTTGGGGTCACATCTGCGAAGAACCAAAAGCATCTCAGTGCAGCTGGACAGATGCTGTCCTTTCGTGCTGTTTTTCCCCCGGGAGCTACAGAGCATGTGGAAAGGTGTCTGGAATGACAACACCCCTGTCGATTCCTCAGGCACAGCCAGACTCTGGGCCCACAGGACATCACAAAACAGGGGAGAGGGATCTTGAAACCTGTCAAAGCACGTTCTTCTCTAGGCAGAAGTGTTGGAAGTGTTGTTTTTACTGAAATCTGAGGCATGCGTCCCATGAAGGGCAGTCGCCATACACATGAGATGTCAATCCAGAAAAACTCTGCCTTGGGCCTGTGCTGGCCCAAGCGGCTCCCTCAGCAGACAGTGGGTGATGCAGAGAATATAGGCCTGAGCACTCAAGAGGGACAAGCAGTGGGGAGACAGGTCGTCCTGCGTCCCCACAGCCAGTTTATTCAGATCAAAAAAAGATCATTTTTCTCCATCTTCTCACCCCAGCTCTCCAAACGCAGGTGACCAGAGACCTGCCCCGGGGCACGATGGTTTACTTGGGCAGCTGGTGGGGTTCAAACATCAAAGCTGACTCAATGGCAGCAAAGTTCACTCAGGCGCCGGCCCAAGTGCTCCCCGGGTCTAACGCGTTTCACCCTCACTGCGATGCTGTTTGGCAGGATCGTCCCTTCTTTCCAGAACGAGAATGAGGAAGGACCCGACCGAGGCTTTCCAGCGGCCCAACCCCAGTGTGGTCCCGAGCGTGGACTCTCTCGCTGGTTACCTGTGCCCCGCGGGGCTCGACGCCGAGGCGGCCCAGATGCTGCTGCTCCGCGGCGCGTTCCTCTGGCCCGAAGGTGCGGCCGCGCGTGTGAACCGGGCGATGACCTGCTGAGCTGGTGACTGCGGAGAGCCTGGTGCCTTCGGGGCGAGAAGTGGGTGGTGGGAGGGCAGAGGTCAGGGAGGGCCCCCCAGGGCAGGCTCAGCCGACGGAAGGGGCCCCAGTGGGGGCCGGGGCAGCTCCGGGACGCGGGGTCCGCGCCGCCGCGCACGCACCTGCCCCAGACCGCGCCCTGCAGCGGCGGGGACGGACCCCGGGGGCGGGTCTCCGGGACGGGGTCCCCGGGTCCGGCCGGGCTCCCTACCTGCCGGCGGGCGCGCGGCGGACAAGGCGTGAACGGCGGGTGCCCCGCGCGCCGGGGGCCGCCGGGGCCCGACGCCCGCGGAGCCGGACGGCAGCGCCGACCCCGCCGCGCCCCGCGGCTCCCCGACCTCGGCCTCGCTCCCCGGCGGCCCCGGCGCCGCCGACGCCGGGCGGGAGGCGCGCGAGGAAGGCGCTGCTCCCGCAGGCGGGCGGGGAGGTCGGGGGCGGCCGGACGGCCCCTCCCGGCGCCGACTCCCGCCCCACAGCGCGGCCCGGCCCGGCCCCTCCTACCTCAGGCGCCGCCGCGGCAGCGTCTCAACGGAGAGCCCCGCGCCTGCGCCTGCGCCCCGGAAGCTCGCGCAAGCGCAGGGCGGTCCGGGAAACTCGCGCAGGCGCAGGGCGGCCCCGGAAACTCGCGGCTTCCCATCCTGCCCCGCGCGGGCAGGGCGTTTCCGGAAGGGGCCGCGGGCGGCGTCTGCTCGGCTCCGAGGCGCGGCGAGAAGTGCTGCCGCCGCCGTGGCCCGAGGGTAGGTTCTGACCCGGTTCCCCCACGGACGGAGTGTTTGCGGGCTCGGGGGCGGCTGTGGAGCCGACGCGGCCTGGGCGGGAGGGCTGGAGCGGCGGCCGCGCGTGCCTCGGAGCGGGCGCCTCGGTGGCCGCCCCGGGAGGGACGCGGGAGCCGGGTGGGCTGTGTGTGTGGCGGGCGGGGCGGGGGTCGAGGGTTGACTCGGGAGTACCGCGACCCACTCGGAACCTTCTGCCTGTGCCGGGAGCCCGAGGCCCTGGGAGGCGGTGGTGGGAAGGATGCCCCCAGGTCACCTCAGGGTGGCTGGGGACCCCCGAAGAGCCAAACCCTCCCCTGGTCGTGTGCTGCCGCCCCCGGAGCTGACTTCTGACCGCGGGTCCCTGCAGAGTTTCAGTCCTTTCTGTTGTGTGCTCTGTTGCCTTCTAAGACGGAAGCTTGAGCGTCTCCAGCTTCTCCACACGGCTGCACGGGACGGGCTGGAGTCAGGTCCTCGGGCGCAGCTCCTGGCCAGCCCCAGGGTCTCGCCCGCCTGTCTCTCCCCCTGTCGGTGCAATTCCACCTGCTTCTTGCTGGGTTGTGAGTCACTCCTGGGCTTCTTGCTGTTACTGACCTTTTTTTTTTTTTCTTTTTTGTCTGTCTGTTGTTGTAGCTATCCTGGGGTCTCCTGCTAGTGGAATTCAGAACACAATTGGTTCTGTAGGCACAGGCCAACAGAACGCCACTTCTTTAAGTAACCCAAACCCCATAGACCCCAGCTCCATGCAGCGGGCCTCCACTGCCCTCGGACTCCCCTACCTGAACCAGCCGCAGACGCAGCCGCAGCCTCAGGTTCCCGGCCAGCAACCAGCACAGCCTCAAACTCACCAGCAGATGAGGACTCTCAACCCCTCGGGTAGGTGAAGGAACTCTGGAGAACTCCATGGCCCCAGATGCAGCCATGGGAATGACGTGTCTTCCTGAAACCCAAGGCTGCTTTCAGCCGTTGTTTTTACTCTACATTCAAGTTGCTATGTCGCACGTGTTATGGCAGACGTGTTATGGTACCTTGTAAGTGGTTGAAAAGGCAGGAGTGTCTGATGCAGGGGAAAAGTTCCAGGCCTGGGGGAAGAGTGACATTTGAGATGAATCAATGTCTGTTGCTCCTTGTGCTGCTTCTGGATAGCTGTCTTGAGGGAGTTCATATGGCTCAAGCTGAAGCTCACAGTTCAGAGCCCTGTTTGTGCCTCTGGTCTAGACCCTCACCAGGCTGTTTACTTGAGGAGCACTTGTGGGTGGTCTGCCAGTCTTCCCACTGCTTCTCGGTGTCACTTCAGTCCATTATTTGCCAATGTTGGCGCATCTGTTCATGTGGAGCCACGATTCCCTTGCCGTGTGCACATACTGTTTTTTCAAAATTTTTCTTTAAATTGGGCCTCCCTGGTGGCGCAGGGGTTAACGACAGCGCTATCAAGCTGTCCATAGCCACTGCAGCACGAGCTTTATCCCCGGCCAGGGAGCTGACCCACAGGGCAAGGCAGACCTCTCCTGTCTCCCCGCGCTCCCCTCAGCAGTGAGTCTCAGTACATCTGCCTGTTCTGCTCCCCACTCTGTCTCTGGTGAATCCTCTCACCCCCCACCTCTGGCCTGCACCCCGGTTTTTGAATGCATAAATAAATAAATATTTAAAAAAAATTTTTTTTCATTGACCCAGTCTTTTGAAGCTTAGGCTTAAGCAAGCAGTGGTGTCCATCAAACCAAGAAAAGGATGTTGTGCTAATTACGTCCCTTTTCTAATAGGATAAGTGTTTTACCTTTTCAAATGACCTGTTAAACTCACTTCATTTGTTGCTTTCTTGGGTAACAGCTGCCATAATGAACACCTAAGGTCTACCGGCCAGGAGCCGGGGTTGCAGTCCTACGACCTGACCTCTGACCTGACCCCATGCCTGTTGATGGTGTGACTTGGGATGAGACTGTTAACCTCTCTGAGTCTCAGCTTTTTCTTACTTTAAAATGAATACCGTAGGCACCTTGATCTTTTCTGCACTTAATTTCTATGATTTTATTTTCTAATACGGAAAAATAAAAAGCCACACAATGGCTCATGGCATGATGGTGATGAAACCAGCATTAAAAATCTGAAACTGTAGAAGGGTTACTTCTAATTATACCCACAGTCATAGAGTGTACTTAAATACTCAGTAGCTGTATTAAAAGTGCCTCCTTTGGGTTAGAAGGACAGCGGCCAGGGGTCTGCAGCTGGGCTGTACGAGTGGCCATTGCCAGAGCCAGGACTCCGGAGCGCTTGTGATCCATCTCGCGGTAGCTCCTCGGGGCCCCTGCGCTGGCAGCTTACCTGCTGCTGAAACTTTGAAGCATATTTTCTCATTCAGGAGTTGGTTGACTTCTTTCTTTCTGTCTTAAAGGAAATAACCCAATGAACATTCCAGCAGGAGGAATAATAACCGATCAGCAGCCACCAAACTTGATTTCACAATCAGCTCTTCCAACTTCCCTCGGGGCTACAAAGTAAGCGCATTTCTCAGCCTGCTCCTTTCTGCATGCCAGCTGCACGGGCCGGGGCTGGTAACCACAAAACCCTGTGGTGCCTAACATGTGGCAGATGAGAATAGTCTGAGCGGGGTGGTGGGGGAAATGTTTTTACCTGTAAACGTGGGGCAGACCGTAGATCACACAGGTGCATTCGCACTCGAGTCCCTCAGTGGACAGAGGGCGCGTCCTGGTCTCTCCCATAGCCCGCTGACGAGTGACGGCTCCAGCTCCGGAAACATCGGCGCCCTCAGCACTATACCCACAGCGGCACCTCCTTCCAGCACTGGCGTCCGCAAGGGCTGGCACGAACACGTCACTCAGGACCTGCGGAGCCACCTCGTGCACAAACTGTACGTGCAGCGCCGCCACCCATGCGGGACGCAGGCACTTGTGCTGGCGGTGCTGTCACGGGTCTGCCTGACTCACTCCTGAGGGGTCCTGTAGGTGGTAGTGCCGTAGCAGCTGAAGGGAGACCCGTGTGGTTTAGGGGGTGGTAGCCACTGCTGCAGGCCAGAGACTCCTTGGCCTTGCAGGGATCATCAGAGCATTTGTGACTCAGCCCTGAGCTGCATGGCCCATGGCTCAGGGGCCAGGGCCCCCGCGCGTTTTCTTACAACTCAAGGTTACAGTTGGGGAGATCCTGAGAATCGGAGGAGTCTGGGCCCAGGCGCAGAGGGTCTGCCATGCCCCTGTACAGCCGCTCAGCTCACAGCCACTGACATTGAGCTGACGGTAAATTTAATCGATTCCACTGGATGTTTCTTTTTCCCCTTCATTATTCCCACTCATCTTTTGGTATAGTTTAAAAGTTAGGAATTTGAAAAACGTCATGCTTGAATTGACTTGGCATGTATTTATTAACACCAAAATATTCTGGGAGACCAGCAGGTCAGTGTTGTCTCCGGAGAGCGGCTTCACTGTGTGCACGGTAGGCAGGCAGAGTCGGGGGTTTCTCACGACACTGAGTTACCCCTTAGAAGGCAATTGGTTTCTTCTCTTTCTCTGTCACGTGTGAAATGACAAGGTGTGCATTGAAAGTCAGTTAATGGAGTTGTTTTCCTTCCAGCGTGCAAGCCATCTTCCCCACGCCTGACCCCGCAGCCCTGAAGGATCGCCGCATGGAGAACCTGGTAGCCTACGCCAAGAAGGTGGAGGGGGACATGTACGAGTCTGCCAACAGCAGGGTAGGTCGCCGCGAGCCTGCAGCCCCCACACACACACCTGCAGAGGACGCAGCTGCGTCCATCCAGCTTATCTGCAGAGGGGGCTCTGCCCGTCGGGTTGGCAGTGTCCCCTAGAGGGAGACCCTCAGAGCAGACCTGAGAGCTGACCCAGCTCGCATGGAGAATGCTGCTGCAGGCAGGCGGGCGGCACCATGACTCAGTCACGGGCATGCCTTAGTGGACGCGGTTCCTGCCGCCCCTGCTGGGTCAGCGCCAGCGTCAGTGAACAGGGAGAGGTTCCGATATGCAGTGAAATGTCACGTGCTGCGTGGCGCCAACTCAGAAACTCCGTGATTCCACTAGGCGTTCCACAAGATTCTGGGCCTGTGATGTATCGGACGTGTTGAGCACTTCACCATGTCAGTGTTCTCCATGAGGAAAGCTTATTAGTTTGTTAGAACATGTAAACTTTCTTTTTGTATAGTTTTCACAATTTCATATGGATTTTGTCTTTTCCAGGATGAGTACTATCACTTACTCGCAGAGAAAATCTACAAGATACAAAAAGAACTAGAAGAAAAGCGGAGGTCGCGTCTACACAAGCAGGGCATCTTGGGCAGCCAGCCGGCCCTACCAGCGCCTGGTGCCCAGCCCCCTGGGGTGCCACAGCCACAGCCCGTGAGACCTCCAAGTAAAGGCCTCCTTGTCTTCTGCCAGCCTTCAGGCTAAGATTCCCACTGCTGGGTCAGGGGTCACTTTAAATAACCACATTTTTTTCTGCCATTTTAGATGGACCCATGCCCCTGCCGGTGAACCGCATGCAGGTGTCTCAAGGTATTTACTGCCATGACTCCCGTCTGAGCTTGATGCTCAGCACCCCTCCCCACGTGTGTGCACAGCGTCTCCCCTTCCTGCGCTGGCAGGCAGGCTGCAGCTCCGAGGCGGAGTGGGTGTCTGTTGCGTGCAGAAGCTTGAGCATGAGAGGAGCACTCCCCAGGATCAGAAGTTGGACCTGGCCCTCTTGTTTCCTGTCCTGAGGGGACAGGACCCTTAGGCAGAGCCTCCCTGGGTGCCCTGGGTGGGGCAGGTGTTTGGGAAGGCCTGTGGGACAGGTGAGCTCCAAAGTTCAGGCCGGGGTGAGCAGGCGGTGGCGCCGGGGAGGGCCAGTGCGGGGCTCCCCGCCAGGCCAGGCTTCCCGCACTGGTCTGGACCATGGTGGAGGGTTGTCCCCGGTGGAGTCTGTGCGGCTGCCTGGTGGAAGCAGACATTTTAGCTTGGCAGTAAACGGTGTTTCGGGACTTTTCCAGTTCCTCTCAGACTGAAGCTTGAACATGAGGACATTTCTACAGGTCGTGAAACAATGTGATGGCTTATTCGGAAGATTCTGGAATAGGGCTTGCTGCTGTGCGGGGGCCGGTTCGGGAGGGAGAGGAGGCCGTGAGTGCCGTTGCCGTCCTCCTGTGCGCTGGAGGCGACGTGGGGGTGGCTGCCTTGGAGGACGCTCCGGGGGCTTGTCCGGGTGGCTTGGCCGAGGAAGAAGTCAGAGTCCGAGAAATTGAGGGGCGTGGCTGAGTTCTGTTTGGGGTGACGTGGAAGCTTCTGTGGCTTTGAAATCTGACACGACAGCTGTTGAGCAGGAGGCGAAGAGGTGCGCCTCTCTGACGACACATCTGGCTTTGTTTAATTCTTGAATTCTTCAGGACAGGGAAAGTTTTATTTGCAGGTTTCCCGGAAAGTTCTCCTGGGCCTGTTGCACTCGCATGTTGACGGTAGTGGTTCTCGGTGGTCATGGAAGGTAGTGCTGGGGGAGGCAGATGGTCTTTGAGACCCTCTTAGGTCCCACTCGCGTGAGGGCGATGCCCTCAAAGACCATCAGAGCCCATGACAGTCCTCAGCCCTGCGTCACCCGGCATCTGAGGAACTCGGTTTGCATGTGGGCAGTCGTGAGGGAGGCGGCACTGGCCTGAGATGCTCGGCAGCTGGCAAGTCTCTCCCCTGTGTGACGCTCCGGCGGCCAGTGGGCACCCAGGGAAGGTGTGGGCCTTCCAGCCTGTAGGGAGGCGGCTGAGGTGGGACACTGCTGCCCGTGGGCTCTTTTTAAACCCTTCACAGACTTGGAAAATGAAGACCCTGGTCGGCGTCTTACCCCAGATCTGAGCAGCAAAGCTCAGCCCACAGGCTCCCTGCAGGGCACAGGCTCTGGAGGCCTCGGGAGCTGGCACAGACAGGCGCCCTGGGCTGCGGGGCAGGAGGGCATGTGGCGGGACAGGCATGAGCCCTCCCACTGCCCCTTGGCCCGTCATCGCGCTCTCCTGAGCTGCCCCGCTCAGCCCACCTGTGCCGTGTGGGTGGCCGCCGGGCTCCGCAACCGCGTCTCTCGCGCTGCCGGCCCTGCCCCACCACCCTCTTCCAGGTGGCAGAGGCCTGTCACCCGTCTGTCCCGATCAGCGGGTGGTTTCTTCTCACCTGTCGCGTGTCTTCCATCTTGCATTGCTTCGCGTGTCCTTGGTGAGCCGGGATACCGTTTTCCTGCGGGTCCTCCTGACGCCCCATTGTGGGTTCCTTCACAGGGATGAATTCATTTAACCCGATGTCCTTGGGGAGCGTGCAGCTGCCACAGGCTCCTATGGGACCGCGCGCGGCGTCCCCCATGAACCACTCTGTCCAGATGAACAGCATGGGCTCCGTTCCAGGGGTAAGTGCTTCGACTCGCCTCAGCCGGGCGCGAGCGAGAGGGGTTCCCCAAGTGGTGGGATTCTCCGCGGCCTGGGATCCTGCAGCGCCGGCTCCTCTGCGTTTGGCTTCTGCCGGATTTCTGTTTTCTCTCGCGTCATCACTGCCCCAGAGGGAATCTTTTGACCGTTCTTTCTCCTGGCATGGTAATGTCCCAGGACCTCGTGACCGGGCGAGAGATGGGCGTCCTGCGGAGGGGGGAGGCAGCCTCCACTGTGGGCCTGAGCGGGCTTGTCCCTCCTGTGGGCTTCTAGAGCTGACTCTGGAGTCTAGAGACTGCTTCCTCAGCGCCGTCAAGAACTCCTGCAGGACACATTGGGAACTTTGCATGATAGTGTGCTGGTGATTTCTGTTCCGATGGCGGTTTGAACCGCCTCATTAGAGACTTGCCTGAGAAGGCGCTTCGAGTGCCCGGGAGCCGGGGGCTCTGGGAGCGGCGGCTCTCACCCCTCGAGGGAGGGTCGACTTGCCCGAGTGCCCGAGTTCTGGGATGGTTGGGCCCCGTGTCTCCTAGGGCGTCTTGACACCCCGACCCTTGTCTTCTGAACTCTCGATGACACTTGCCTTCTAGATGGCCATCTCTCCGCCCCGCATGCCCCAGCCTCCCAACATGATGGGCGCGCACACGGGCAGCATGCTGGCCCCGGCACCCGCGCAGAGCCAGTTCCTGCCGCAGGGCCAGTTCCCCTCCCCCGGCGGGGCCATGAGCGTGAACAGCGTGGGCCTGGGGCAGCCGACGACCCAGACCAGCGTGGCGCAGGTACAGTTGGCGCTTGGCGTGGCCGCCTGTGTCGGCGCCGCCCCTCTGCTCCCGAGGAGCTCGCACCTCATTTCCATGTGTCGGCGTCCTCGAATTTTTCCCCTTTTGTCCTGTCGTGTTTACCTGGCTTGGACGTGCTCTTACCCTGACGTGAACTTCATGCGAAAGTGGATTGCAGATTTCTGCCTTGTGTACTTTGGGGTTTTGATTGCCAGGTTTTATGTGTCACTTTCTCAGTATTAACGTCTGCGTGTTCAACTCCGAATCTCACATGCCACCCTGAGAGACTGTGGGTCTTTCAGAGGCCTGAGGGAAGGTCAGCTTGTGCTGCTGCCCATCTGTCTGCCCAGGCAGAGTCAGGCTGGCTGAATCATCCAAGGGGCTCTCTTCTCGCTGCCTTGTTCTTAATTACCTATCAAGCGCCGAGAAGTCTCCTCGGGTTGAGGGCCGCCCCCTTTGTAGACTGCAGGATGTGAGATGCTGCTGCCACCCGTGTGCGTGTCTGTAGCGGCCAGCTCTTCCCCCAAAGACATACTCTGTGTTTAATCTTTCAGAATGAAGTGGTGTGAACAGAAGCCATTGGCCACATTATTTTTTATTCATTAACTACTTAGTCTTAATATTGGTATTTTATTGCTTTGGAACAGAGATCTGCAGACTTGTCCTGCAAACATTGTGGACTCTGGCCCATCAAGTCTGTTCTAACTTGGGACTCTGTTGAGGTGCACAAGCAGCCGTGGACATGTCACCTGTGCATGACAGAGGGGCGTGGCTGTGCCCACAGGATAGGTGCAGGCAGCTGGCTGGGTCCGGCCCTGAGCTGTAGTTAACCACCCTGCTCTGATCCATGATTTTTAAAAGACCCACAAGGAGACTCAAGGGTGCGCCTGCAAGGAACAACGCTGTGCTGGCCCACGCGGTCCTCCGGCAGCTTGTGCTTTGTAAACGAGGGAACCTTCCAGAGCGCTGAGCTGTGGGCGTGTGTCCCGGAGCGCGAGGCCGGTGATCTTACATGTCTCTTCCAAGCCTGAGGCTTGACAGTTCTATAAATCAGAGAATGAGAACATTCGCAGTGATGACTTACTGGAAAGTGCATCTTACCCTGAGTGCCCAATTCCATGATTTTTCACACATGGGACATTTCTCTGAGCCAGCAGGTCTCATGGAGAAGTCTTGACTCGATTTTCGTACCTTCAGGTCTGCAAATCTGCCGCCACATTTTCACACATGGGAATAACGTTGCCGAACTCTCTTCTCTTCTGTCAGGGGCAGGTGCCTGGTGCTGCTCTTCCCAACCCTCTGAACATGCTGGGGCCCCCGGCCAGCCAGCTGCCTTGCCCTCCCGTGACACAGTCGCCGCTGCACCCGACGCCGCCTCCTGCCTCCACGGCCGCCGGCATGCCGTCTCTGCAGCACCCCGCCGCGCCGGGGATGACGCCCCCCCAGCCCGCCGCTCCCACCCAGCCGTCGACTCCCGTGTCGTCTTCCGGGCAGACTCCCACCCCGACTCCCGGCTCAGTGCCCAGTGCCAGCCAAACCCAGAGCACCCCGACAGTCCAGGCAGCAGCTCAGGCCCAGGTGACCCCGCAGCCTCAGACCCCAGTGCCGCCCCCCTCCGTCGCCACCCCTCAGTCATCCCAGCAGCAGCCGACGCCTGTGCACGCCCAGCCTCCTGGCACGCCGGTGAGCCTCTGTCTCTTACGCGAGCGCTTTCTGTAGACAGTGTCTATCGTGAAGTCACTGCCCATGAGCTGCGCCCTGAGGGCCGCCCTGGCATTGCCTCGCCTCCGCCAAGACGGTAGCTGGCGGATGCAGCTTAGGGGGACGGGCAGTCGTGAAGAAGTCACACGGGGGCAAGCTGGGTGGGAGCGCCCTCATGAAGCCTCACATGGGAACCGGGCTCCGCAGCTGGCCGGTCCCCGCTGCTCCTTGTCCCCCCACTCCCCTCACTGCGTCGGCCTCACCTGCCTGACAGTCTGAGCAGCTTGGTGTCTGAGTCCCGTCTAGTGCGACATACATTGGTGTAAGAGCAGGTTAAATTGGGACGACGCTCGCCTCGGGTCTGTGTTCGAGGGACTCAGGTGACACCAGGTGTCACTCAGGTGCCACCAAGCGTCCCCGTCCCGCTGCGGGAGGGGCGAGGCGGGAGCCGCGCGGCTCCCGCCAGGAAGGACCTGCGCGGTCCCGTGCCGCCCCCGAAGGCCCCGGTCCGCCTGCGGTGGAGTGAAGGTCTGTGCTGTTCACACCTCCTTCTCCGTGGTTTTGCTTTTCTGAAGATGATGGAAGAGGACTTGCAAGGATCTGCTCCAGCCAAAGAAGAAACGGACCCCGCAGAGCCGAAGCCAGAAGCGATGCAGGTGGACGAGAAGAAGCCGGAGGTCAAGGCGGAAGCCAAGGAGGAGGAGGAGAGCAGCTCCGGCGGCGCGGCCTCCCAGTCCACGTCTCCCTCCCAGCCCCGGAAGAAAAGTAAGTTGTCTCCCCTTGGACGTGCCGCGTCGCGCTGCTTCTCTGTCAGGTGCTGACGCCGCCCCGAAGCAGACGGTCCCTCCCCCCTTCATCTGCCTCTCCCGCCGTTCCCCGAGTGGTGCCTCGTCAGAAATGACGGCAGCGAGCTAGACCCCAGCCTGAGAACCTGTGGAGTCTGTGGTGGGAAGGAGAAGCCAGATCCGGCCCGGGACGGGGGCGTCCTCCGAAGCGCCTCCGACCGCGGGGCGGGGGGCAGGAGCACCTGCTGCCTCCGGAGCAGGCGACGAGCTGGGCGGGGTGCTCGGGCGCTGTCCCCGGCCTGCACCCGTTCCTCTGATCGGAGCAGGACGCGGAGTGCCGGGGTGGGGGCGAGCCCCAGTGACCCGGTGCGCAGGACGGGGGTGAGTGTTGAGGTATGCGGGGTGAGCTTCCCAGTGGAAGTCGGGCGGGATGTGTTTGAGTTACGTCCAAAGTAAGGAAATCGTCAAGGCACCCTTAGAAATGTGAGGGGCTCTGGAGGCTCGGGCTGCAGGTGACGCGTTCAGGGCAGATGACGGGGGGTGCTGCGGCCGGCGTGGGGCGCTTCGCCGCCGGGTGCTCCCCGAAGCCCTGGAGCGCTACTCGCTTCCCCTGGGCCCCTGCACACGCCTGAAAATGGACCCTCCCGAGGTTTCCACGGGTGTCGTTTATCTGTTGGGATTTTCTCTGTTAGAAATTCTCAAAATAATTCATTGAAAAGTAACAAATCCTTTACATGGAGCCCATCAAAAACACATTTTTATGAAAATGACCTTGTCCAGAGCAAAGGTAATTCGTAAAGGTAGGGACTAATTTTGCAAATGGGTGAGTGGATGCGCACACCGGGCGTCTCCTGTCCGCCTCAGCCTCCGCGCGCCACGGGAGGGCAGGACGCGGCCTCCCGCGGACAGTAGCTGCTACAGGGAAGAGCCTTTTCAGACGATGGGTGTTCTCTTCCCGGACACCGCACCAAAACTCAGCAAGTGCAAGTGTCTTCCCGTCCAGCTGCGGTGCGAAATTAGAATCCGTGTGTCTGTCTGGCACTGAGCGACCTGGTGGTATTTCTATGTAGCACCGTCCTTTGGTCACCTGGGAGTCTGGCTCGCTGAATTGCACGGCTCTTCCAAAGGCTGGCAGACTTCACTGTACGAGGTTTTACACTCACACTGACTAACAGCGCCATCATGTCCCTTCCAGACAGTCTTAGAAATTTTGAGAAGCTGTCACGCTCGTGTGGTAGCTAGAGGTTTCCTGAAATTTTGATTTTTGTGAAAGTGCGTATTTGATCTTTGCCGCAATCAACTCTCCTTGAAGTGACTGGCGCACTTTGTTGATTTTTGAGGAAATGTCTGCCCCCTGTTCTGATCAGTCGCGCCTTAGCTCGTCCATCAGTCCTTTCTGGTTTATATGTTCTGGAACAGAAACGAAACAACATGCCCCTTAGCTCAGCACTCCGCCCCGACTATGTCATAAAGCTGCTCTGTGCCACCGCCTGCGTGTCCACCAGCCGGCGGGAGCCAGGGCCGAGGCCTGAAGACAACGGTGGTCGTCACCACTCCTCAAGGGTGTTCGTGGGTGCAGCTGGCAGGCTCCTGGCTTGGCACAGGCTGTGGGGGCAAGGCGGTGGCGGCCTCCCTCACCCTGTACTCCATGTTCCCGCGGTTGCCAGGCCCCACCTGTCACACGTCAGCGTGGGGCACGAGACGGGAACTACTAGGTGTTGCCCTGAAAAGCAGCTCCGTTAGGACATAGATGTGATTTCCAGGGTGGTGCTAGAACTTCTGCAGTGATGGAAGGTGTATCTCCGTTACAGTAGCCCCCGGTGCCATGTGGCTCTTGAGCACTTGAAATGTGACAAGCGTGATGAGAAATGGAGTTTTGTGTTTTGTGAAGGTTAATTCACTTCGATGTAAGCACCGCGTGTGAGGGGCGGCCGCCACGTTAGGCAGCACGGGGCCCGCAGGTGTCCGTGGGCCTGGCCTGAGGTATTGCCGGCCGAGCACCAGCCTGAGCGTGTGGGTGTTTGGGCCACGGGAGCCAGCGACTTGCTCGGCGCACCCCCTGGCCAGCAGCAGAAAGCTCGACCCCACACAGCTTCCCACTTTGACTCCGTTCATTTGAGTCTCATTACATCTCTGTGGTGCTTCACACAGGGTTGAAAAGGCCTTTTTCTTGGCTTCATGAGTGGGGCCCAGAGCAGGGTCTGTGTCTGGCTGTGCCCCCACCCGGCCCCGCTTGTTTTCAGAGACTAACATTTTAATTTCATGTCATTTTTCCCGTGTCATGAAATGTTATTTTCTTTTTTTCCCCTAAATATTAGAGAATGTAAAAGCCATTCTTAGTTCATAGGCTGTACGAAAACAGGCCAGAGTTAGCCCGTGGGCCGTGGTTTGCCAGCCCCTGATCTCGCGACATGAACAAGCCATCAAGTAACTTGAGGTATTGTAAAGAGTTATTCCAAGACAACCAAATGCTCCTGGGCCTCTGCGCACCGTGGGCGAAAAGGGGTTAGCATGTGTTTCACGAGGTTCCCGCAGGGGACTGTCTGTTGGGGGTGTGCTCCCCACAACCTGCCGCCCCAGGTCCACGGCAGCCAGGTGGGGGGTTCCTGGAGAGGAGGTTCAGGAGAGCAGGGCGGGCCTGCTGCTGGCGGCAGCGAGCGTGTGGGAAGAGCACCGGCGCCGCCGTCCCGTCTCTCCCTGCGCAGCGCGTGGCTCCCGCGGCAGCCTGGCGTGTGTGTGCTGCTTCGGTCTGGTTTTTCAATCGTGGTTTACCATGTAAGTGTGGTAGGAGCTTCTCAAAATAGAAAGACTGCCAAGAAGAAATCTCACGTCCCTTACAACCTGAGTCGTCAAAACTTCACGGCCACGTTTGCCCCTGGTCAGTCTCTGTGGGGGCAGGGTGGGGGGCGGTGCCGCGACACACTCGCCGCCCACAGCCCACCTCGCTTTCGGGGTGTCCGTGCACGTCCCCGGTCATCAGGGCTCTTGGGGTCTGAGAGACTGTGATCGGCAGCCGGATCGGTGACGACAGAAAGCGCGGTAGGAAGTGGGGTGGCTCGGGGCTGAAGACCTTCCCGCGCACAACGTGGGAGGGAACGACCCAGAACTTGCGGGAAAACTGATTATTTCTGTGGCTCTGTTGTGTGTGTGTAGTTTCGAGGTTGTGCTAGAGAGCCGTGTGCCCCTGGTGGCCTGAGCGACCTCCGCCCAGGAGAGCCCTGTCATCAGCGGGGCTGGGGAAGCCCCTTCCGGGACAGGGTCCAGGACCACAGACGCCAGAGTCTTCTGCGCCTGGCCCGACAACGGTGAGCGCTGGAAGCCCGTTTCCCATGGCTTCCTAGATGAGAAATGACCGCAAACTCGCTTCTCCTGGGTCATTTGGAGTTCAGTCCGTCTGTCCATCCACAGGACCTCCTCCAAGCGCTCTCCTGCTGGCCAAAGCACTCCAAGAGCTTGACCTGATGGGCATTTGCCACGTGGCAGAAGTCTGTGCCCTACAGTTGATCCCCGAGACTCCCTTGCTTTCTGATGTTCCCCAACTTTGGCCACATGATAAAACAGCAGATGGAAGCATGGATGTTTAAAATGATCTTGGAGACGCTGGCGACCACCCAAAGCCTTTCTTTCCAGCGCAGACCAGGATGCGTAATAACGCAACAGTCGATACCACTATGACATAAGCAACTTGAACGCTTATCAGTCACTTAACTACACTAACGTGTAAAAAAAATCTCGGTAATCACACACTCCACACGCTTCACTTTCCTGATAAAGATACTCAGACCTCAGCTCATGAGTGCTCGTTAGACACAACCACACACGCCGAGCACGCCCTTATTATGAGTGAAAGCAATTCCCAAGGCAGGTCCTGGGTGATACGCACGGAGCTGAAAGAAATCCTGCACACCCGTGAGAGCATCATTCTCTAAACGTGAACACATCCCAACGTTAAACATGGGCGCCTCGTACTCCGAAAACCCACGAGCCAAATGTCCTCAGAGAACTGTACCACGAGGAGAAAAGCCAATGGCGGGACGCTCTAGGGACGATTTAGGTTCTCTCAGCCCCGCCGTGAGGAAGAGCAGGCCCGGCGCCCTCTGCTGCGCCCGGGGAGCAGCGGCTGCGCGGAATGGAAGGCACAGGGGACCGGCGTGGCCTCCCAGAGCTGGGAGGAGACCACGGCAGCGCCTCGCGACGCCTTCCGACTGCCTGTGCTTTCTGCCGCACCTCCGCCAAGCGCCGTCCCGGGGGCCAGAACGCCTCGCAGGGGGTGGGCGCCACGTCCGCGCCCCAGGGCGCGTGCAGCATTCAGAGCTTGCAGGGAGCTGCCCACACGGTCACTGTACTTTGTGTTTGTGCTAAAGACATTTATTCTTAAACGTAAACATCACCCTCTTCTCTATTTAAAAGAAAACATACCTATCGAAGATAAGTAAGCATTTGGAATTTGACCGTTTTAGCAGTTCAGAGGTAAGGAGAACAAATTCCAGGCCTTCCTTGACTTACGACGGGGTCTCATGGGATAAACTCAGCGGCAAGAAGACAGCCCAGTTAGAGAGTAGGCAAAGGACGTGAACTCCAGGAACACGAAGAGGCTCAACATTACGAAGCCACCAGAGACCTAAAAATCAAAACCACTAGACACACCCACCAGGATAACCTAAAACAAACAGAAAACAGCAAGTGTTGCCAGAATGTGGAGAAATTGGAACCCTCGTACTTTTGCTAGAGAGCACGGTGCATGCTCGTGCAGCTGGTGTGGAAGCAGCTTGGCAGTTCCTCAATAGGCTCAACATAGAATTAACCTTTTCCGGGCCTCCCCGGTGGCGCAGCGGTTGAGCGCTGGGTTGCGAAGCTGCCCTCGGCCTCTGCGGCGCCGGTTGGATCCCCGGCTGCTCCCCGGCCACTGGAGGAGGGTCCCTCATGGCGCGCAGACCTCTCCTGCCACCCGCCACCACAGTCCTCGCCAGCTGCCATCAT